ATCTGTCGAAACGTCAGCAACGGACAGCGGCTCAAATTTTGGGAATGCCCGATAAGTAGCTGATGCGAAACACTACAAACGTGCTGTTTCGTATCTCCGCAAATTCGTAGTGCGAAACGCGAATTTGATTTCGGAGAGAGAGGTTCACTTCATCAAGGGCAAGATGAGATTCGTAAGGAAGTTCGAAAGAATTTATCCGCACGCTCTCCATCCTGAACTCCAGATGGATAAGATCACCCTCGCGAATCCTAATGCTCGCATAAAAGTTGTGGAATCGGTGAAGTCCACTGTCTCTGACAAAGATGCTAAGCCGAATTCTGATCTGAAGCCCAGCTCGAAACCAAACCCTAGTCAAAAGGCAATGGAAAATGCTACTGAGAACATCCAGAAACAAAATGTCAGACATAAGCCCGATTCTACGCCTAGCGACAAAGGTGAAGCTAAAGCTTTGGGTGGACCTACCAGTGGTCGGAATAGGAAGAAGGGAAAGTCCGGCAAGGAACCATCGTCAAGAGTATCTCTATCAAAATTGGTCCACGTACCGTCGTTATTTATATTTAAGATTTTTAGACATTACTTTGCGAAATCTAGCCGCTTCGTTCACACCTGTCAAATCTTCCCACCAAAAATTTAGCATTGCACAGTCCATGAAAATTTCGATCCGGCCAAACATAATTTTTATTTATTCATTTTTGAGGTTTCTGAACATCCGGCCAAACATAATTTTTATTTATTCATTTTTGAGGTTTCTGAACATCTTTTTCCAGCAGAATTCGTTGTAACCGGATATTTCAAATTCAATTTTGAGGGTATCCCCCACATTACTTTTTATACCACTTAGCCTTATGCCTAATAAGGTTATATACACCCTGTTTCAATCAAAATTTGCCTTTTCGAAATGTCGGTTTTAAGTCGATTTACAACTGTCCGACAGACCTCTTTCTGGCTGGTGCGCACGTTATCTCTAGAGGGCAGTAACCGAAAGTTGTAACTAAGTTTAAGTTCGAAGATGGCGATGGAGAATCCTTAAAAAATTCTAGCAAGATTTAGCTATGGCCTTCCTAAGGATCTTCCGAAGGAATCGAGATAAATGGAATAACATATGACGGGCGGCTTGAATTTGATGAAAAGGAACTTCTATTTCATTAATTATATTCCGCAAACTGAAATGCATGATGTTCAGCACGAAATTTTGCAAACTTGCAAAAAACGGATGATGTTATGCATTATGCGTCACCACTGCTCAATCATGTGAATAACATTTATTTCATTTCATGAGATTCATAAGGCCAACCTCAATGGCAAAGCTAGGTAAAAAATGCATATTCTCATGTTTTTATGGATTAGGATATGAGCCTGATTTTTGTATACACACCTTTCCAATGAAATTCATTGACGATGAGTGTTTCAAAAAAACAAAAACTAATTTAAATAAATGTTTGCTTGCGAACAATCTCTCATTTCATATCTTGACTCGTTTTCAAAAATATTTAGAAACATTTTAGGCCATTATTCTTTTCTTTTCGCTACCCTCCATTTCTAAGTTATTCATACACGTGTTTCACATAGGAAAATTTGTGTGTTTTGGATTTTTGTTGTGTTGTTCTTTTTTTCTGCCTATGCTAATAAAAAAAATAAAGTTCGCCACAGTTGGTTGTTGTCGGACGATGACGATGGTGACACACACGATGATGACGACTGTGACGAGAAATTCATGCTGTCTGAATGATGGTGGCGATGGTGTTGCTGATGATGATGTTTGTTGATGGCGTTAACATAAAACCAAAAATGAAATACCCAAGCTAAAAAAAACAAATAAAAACACCAACAACATTCCACATAAGTCATTTGAATCATTATTTTTTTTTTCAAAATATTAATGTTCGCAGATATTTTTGTGTGGTTTCAGAGGCTGTAACCAAAAACAAAAAATTAAGTCAATGAATTTTTCGACGCAATATATTTAAATGTAATTTTTTTTCTAAGGTGGAAGGATAGATATTTTGTGTCAGGTTGGAATGGATATTTATTTGATTTTATTTATTTAATCCCAAAAATACAATATGATGTCATTAAGGCCTATTTTAATTAAATTGCAAACTATACTCCAAAACATGAGAATTTAAATTTCTATATTATTAAAAAAGTTGACATACTTTAAGGGTAGAAAATTTGAGGTAGAACTACTCCAAATCATTTTAAATTTATTGCAGTGTTTTTTTTTATTATTAATAGATATTTATTTTTATTTATTTCTAAATTTTGATTGAAAAGAGTAGCTTTCTTTAAACCAATTGAAGAAATTTGTCGCCCCCACTGCATATCGCTTTGTCAAATACTTCTTTGGCCTTAGGGCTTTTGATTATTGTTGCAGCTAAATATATGAATGTTATGTTTTTTTTCGAATCTTTATCCACATTGCTTGTATAATGTAGATACAATATCTACATTTTTTATACAGTGTAAATACATCATCTACAATATTCAGACAGTGCATATGCAATAACCACATTGTTTGGATAGTGTAAATACATTGCCCATATCATATACATTGTTTGGATAATGTAGATACATTTATTCACATTGTTGTGATAATGAAGATACATTATCCACATTATTTAGTCAGTGTAGATACATTATCTGCAATATTTAGACAGTGTAGATACATTATCTACTTTGTTTGGATAGTGTAGATACATTTTCCACATTGTTTTGATAATGTAGATACATTATCCACATGGTTTAGATAATGTAGATACATTATCCACGTGGTTTAGATAATGTAGATACAATATATAAATTATTTAGACAATGTAGATACATTATCCACATTGTTTGGATAATTTAGATTCATTATCTGCAATATTTAGACAGTGTAGATACATTATCCACGTGGGTTAGATAATGTAGATACATTATCTGCAATATTTAGACAGTGTAGATACATTATCTGCAACATTTGGACAGTGTAGGTTAATTATCTACATTGTTTGGATGTAGTAGATACATTATCTGCAATATTTAGACAGTGTAGATACATTATCCACATTGTTTTGATAATGTAGATACATTATCCACATGGGTTAGATAATTTAGATACATTATCTGTAATATTTAGACAGTGTAAATACATTATTTGCAGATACATTATCCAATTTGTTTGGGTTATATGAATACATTATCTGCAATATTTAGACAGTGTAGATACATTATCAGCAACATTTGGACAGTGTAGATACATTATCCACATTGTTTGGATAATGTAGCTACATTATCTGCAATATTTAGACAGTGTAGATACATTATCCACAGTGTTTGGATAATGTAGATACATTATCCACATTGTTTTGATAATTTAGATACAATATCCACATGGGTTAGATAATGTAGATACATTATCTGCAATATTTAGACAGTGTAGATGCATTATCTGCAACATCTGGACAGTGTAGATACATTATCCACATTGTTTTGATAATTTAGATACAATATACACATGGGTTAGATAATGTAGATACATTATCTGCAATATTTAGACAGTGTAGATAAATTATCTGCAACATCTGGACAGTGTAGATACATTATCCACATTGTTTGGATAGTGTATATACAATATCCACATGGGTTAGATAATGTAGATAAATTATCTGCAATATTTAGACAGTGTAGATACATTATCTGCAATATTTAGGCATTGTAGATAGATTATCTACATGGTTTGGATTGTGTAGATACTTCTTTTTTCGCGTAATATTTTCCAAAATTCCCATCTCCTCCTCGTTTTACTCTCTCCGTTGTGTTGCTGTTGATTATTCGTACGTACGGTTGGATGGATGGTGTTGAGCTAAGCTGGAATTGTCACGAGGTGACTCATATCCACTAAGCCTCATTTGTTGTGACGGCGGTGACGATGACGACGACCACGACAAGACAGACAACAACTGGGGCTCTACAAAATTAAGCCGATCGCCGATTTGCTGCTGATGGAGAATATTGTTGTTGTTTATTTATTTTCGTTTCATTTCAAGTTTTAAAGAAAAACTCGATTTATTTTTGCGTCAAAATTCGGTGTGTGTGCGCGTGTGTGTTTGTTGTGCTCTTTGATTGTTAAACAATTAATAACAAATGTTGATTTACAATTTTTTTAATTTTAATTTCAGAACTTGTTAAACTAAATTTAATAATTTATCGGTTTTTGTTTACAGTTTAAATTAATAGAACTTCAAACTGGATAATTTACAAAGTTACGTCATTGTTTGGACCTCCAACTCGGCTGTAGGAACAAAACCACCGCTGTATAAAAAACCAAGACAAAATCACCACCGATTACGTCCCCGTCTAATTAAATTCGAGCCAGTGTAATTGAGTAAAAACAAAACAACAACAAAAACACCACACATCTTTCGTGTGCGTGTGTGTGTTTGTGTCTGCATATGTGTGTCTGAATGTGTTTGTGTTCTGATAGACCTGTTGTAATAATACGCGGTTTGTGGAATACACGATTCTTCTTCGACAGAGCAGATTTGTGTGTTGGGAAAACAAAAATCAACAAAAATTTCGAGATCATCAAAACGCGATCAGAAGAAATTTACGGCTCACTTGCTCGATCGCTACCTCACTCTACACCTGTTCTAAGACTTTAGATAAGTAAGAACAGAAAAAAAGTAGCAAACTCCAAACTGACAACAAAGTTGCTAAGTGTAGTAGGGTAGTGAGGCGTCGAACCAAAAGTCGTTCCTTCGATTTTGTGGGCAAACGAAGAAAAGTGCCAATATAAAGAAACTAGTCAAACTGAAGCAGTTGTCGGAAGACGTTACGGTGCTGTTGAAAATCGAAAAAATGGACAGCATCGTCGAGGAGAACGGTAACTCCTCGAATAATATAGATGATACAGCGGCGGGTGGTGGTGGTGGCAATGGTAGCGGCGGTGGTGGTGGCGGCTTAGTTGGTCACAATCTATCCATAACATCATCCTCACAGCAGCAGCAACAGCAACAACAACCTGCCACGGTACAAACGACACAAATGAATCTATCCAACTCAAATAGTGTACAACAGCAACAACAACATCAACAACAGCCACCACCTCCTAGCCAACAAACATCAGCGGTCCCCGTACCGATATCGGTGGCAGCCGCAGCTGCTGCGGCCCTAGCAGCTGGTTCTGTTTTAACCCCTAATCCTCCTGTTGTACAATATTTATCAAATCCCCATGGTTTGCCCGTAAGTTGGTCATGACATATTTTTGTTGTTTCTTTTTTAACATTTTTTTGTTGTTATTTGCAGGTTCAGTCTGTAATACAAGCGGCCAATCAATCGTCAGTTATACAAACAGCGGCCGGCAACAATTCCCAGACACATGTTGCCATACCCAAGGGTACTGTTCTATATAAAAATAATGCCACAGTTATACATACAACATCAGGCAATGCTGTCCAAGTAAGTGTTGACCACCCAACGAAAAAGAACAACAATAATAATCAGAACAAAGCAGACAAATTGCAGTCACCCTTTTTCCCCTACAACATTTGTATTAGGTTGTCCCATAAGTTTCTTCCCTTTTCATACCGATTTGTATATCCCATCTTGATCAAATGCCTATGTACCGTTGTCTTGGGAATGTTAGTGTCATCCACTATCTCTGCGGCCGTTGGGGTCTTCATCTTGCAAATCAAAATTACCGTAGTCGTAGTACCCCACCCGTAAATGTTGCAATCTCGTCTGCAGTGTCCTTCGCACTCTTGCCTTTTTTATGCCGTAAATGCATTTTTAGTTCCCATATTGAACGGTGCAGAATCAAATTTAAAAGAGGCTTTGTCACCTACGAAACGTACTTTAAAAGAGCTCTGGGACGACTGAAACCGATACCATAAACGGCTAAGAGATAAGCCTGCATGTTTATGTAATCGGAAGAAACTTTTGGGACAAACCTAATATTCCCCTTCATGTACGTCTGTCTGTAGAAATCTCGATAGAGATTGCAATATTAATGATAGAGCTCTGAAATTTGCACAGACATTTGACAGAAAGTTTAGTAGCTGCAGCTTGATACGTTTGACCATGTCGATGTCCGAGATTTGATGGCATAGCTCATGGTTGATTCGAAGGCGATATTCACCGTCAGCGCAGATCGGCCCATAGATCTTCCGAAGAGTTTTTCGCTGAAACAATCTAAGAGTTGCCTCATCTATATGAGCAAGTACTCATGCTTTAGATCCATACAATAGCCCGGGTAATAACAGCGTCTTGTAGAGTGTGAGTTTGTCCTGGCGAGAGGTGGCTTTGCTTTTGAGTTGCTTACTTATACCATAGTAACATCTGTTGGCCAACACTATTCTCCTCCAAATTTCAAAACTTATGTCATTAGTTTTGTTTATGCCGATATCAAGTGCCCCAGTTGGTTCGAGTCTACTGGACGTCTTGCGCTTTGATACCATTAACTTGGTCTTCTCGCCATTCACTGTCAGACCCACTTTGGCAGACTTCTTCTCATTTCGTCCAAAGGTGGCTGTTACCGCTCGCAATGTTCGACCCATTATGTCGATGTCGTCGGCTTAGGCGAGTGAGATATTCTGTTTGGGGTACAGAGTGCCATATCTATTCACATTCGCATCTCCTTTGACCTTTTCCGAAAGGATGTTGTACAAGTCACACGACAAACTGTCACCTTGTCTGAATCCTCGTTAAGTATTGAAGGGCTCAGATAGGTCCTTTCCGATTTTAACTGCTGATCTTGTGCCATTAAAAGTTATCCTGCATAACCGTATTATTGACCATTTGCTTTTTTTGTGCACGGGACACAGGATGCTGAGGTTGCAATCATTATTCCTCTATCCAATTTGTACTAATCAGCTGGTGCATGCTCCTGACCAGCATCTGACCACCAGTCTTGAATAGTTCGGCTAGTAACCCATCGACTCCTGCTGCTTTATTGTTCTTCAGCTGATTGATTGCTCATCAGGCAGGTGGGTAAGTTGAGCAGAGTAGGCTTCTGCTATCTGTTGGGTTTGCAGTTTTACGACGTCGAATTTCCGTGTTACATTAGATCGCAACTTTGCTGCTACATTACGATGGGTGCGAATCGATGATCCCAATCGATATTCGCTCCTCGTATCGATCGAAAGTCTAATCTGGTTCTGCTAACTACCATGTTTTTTGCAGCCGCGAAGTCAATTAACCTCATGCCGTTGTCGAATGTTTCTTCTTGGAGGCTGAATTTTCCGACGGTGGGACCAAAAATATTTTCCCTTCCGATTTTTGCATTAAAATCTCTCCTAGCAGAATTTTAATGTCATGACCAGGGCAGCGGTCATATGAAGTTTCTAGGCTCTCGTAAAAAATGTCTTTGGTCTTTTCATCTTTGTCTTCCATCGGAGCATGGGCACAAATACCACTGATGTTGAAGAACTTCGCTTTTATACGGATTATAGTAATTCGCTCATCTACTGGAGTGTATCTGGAGACGAGGTCTTTTATTCTCCTATTAACCATAAATCCGCATCCAAATCCATGTCTCGTTTCATGGCAGCTATAATACAGGGCGTAATCATTTGATTTACTTACCCCAGTCCCTTTCCACCGCATTTCCTGTAAGGCAATAATATCGGCTTTGTAATTCCTGAGTACATTCTCCAAGGCTAATCACACATCAGCTCACTATCTCAACGGGTGATGAAAATAACTACCCCAGGTGACACGGCGGGAAGGTCTGTGTCCACAATTGAGATGAAAGAGATTGAAAGATAAGTCTGGGCTTTCCAATGTTAAAGCAAGCGTATAGGCCAGAAAGCCCTTTCAGATCGTGAAATACAATGAACGAAAAATATTCTTTAAAAATCTTCTAAAATATTCTTTAAAAATCGCTTTTTTTTAAGTCGAGAATTTAGAGATAACTCAGTAAAGAGTAAATGTTACATCGCTAAAGAAAAAATATCATAAAAATATTTACTCCCATTATTTCCCCCACATGACCCCCACCATAACCTATAATTTTTTTTTCCTGTTTTATGACAAATTTAATTCCCCAATCTATGTTCTTTGATTGATGATATTGTTATGTAAATCCTTTCATGATTTGTTTTTTACTTATTTTTATCCAATCATCATGATCATCATCACCTATCCAAAAAACAACCTTGACAACGAACACAACAACAACAAAAATTTTGAAACGACAACAATCAAAAAATAACTGAAGCTTCCTCCAAATTTCCCCTGCAAGATAAAAACCGAACAGAATACCCACCACCTTGATACAAATAGTGAGGATAGTTATACCGATGAGGATTCACCACGTGGCCGAAGAGAACTAACACGAAGACCATCGTATAATAAAATCTATTCGGAAATAAGTGGACCCGATATAACAGGTATGTCTAATAATGAAAAGTTGTCTTTTTGTCTAAAAACGTTTTATTTTTTCATCACATTTCCTCACATTGCTGTTAACAAGATTATGCAAAGTTGGAAAATAATTTTCATTTTTTGTGTCTTATAATCATTCATTTTTGTCTCTGTCACAATCTTCACACATATAAGAAAAATCATTGCAAATAATATCGAATCAAAATTGTTGCATATTTAACCAATATTGTTTAAAAGCTTCACTTTACCACAACAACAACAGCAACAACCACTGATATTTGTATTCGCCTTCTGTGTGTCGTCCGTCATCATGATCATCAACATCATTTTTTATTTTGGTTTTAATTATTCAGATGAAGAGCAGTTCATTTATTGTATTCAAATGTTATTTACTTGTTTTAAAATATTGTTCATTGTGTTATTAAACATTTAAAGTGCAAAATTGTTGCATAGCCCCTTGAGCATATGATATCATTTCTGTATTGCATTTATATTGTTTTTTTTCTAATTAATTGTGTATAAACTATTCATACTTTTTGTAATTAATCATCATCATCTTATATCATTGTCATATTTTTCCAACTCATATACAGATAACAGTTGAACCTCCTCTATATATTTTGGAACTTTATAATGGATTTTAAATTAGCTAAACACAATATGTATGGAAATTAATCGACTTTTAGTCCTGGGTGCCCAAAAAAGAAAGAGGATAGTAAGGAAATATCCACGCTTTGAAAATATTCTTAAAAATCCTTCAGAGAATCCCTCAATATTTTCAGAAAGCGCATCAAAATTGATGGTGGAAGTCAGACAATCCTTCTAAAAATAATGAAAATATTCGCACGAACATGGTTTTCAAATAATAAAGATAGTGAATGCTGTGGGTCTCTTGTGTTAAGGAGAGAATATTTAGTTAAACAGGGATCTATTTTTGTATACAGTCCACTTCAGACAAGAGATTATTCTTATTGAATGATTGTCAACTAGTAGAAGATAGGAGTTTCATATGCCACACCTGGTATTTTTTTTTGATTTTTCACTCAGAAGTCCCCATTTTATGCGCTACAGACTGATAAGCACAAGCATGTAAATGCACCACAAAGAAAAACGCGATTTCACTCCGCGAAGAATATCCGTGCTAATATCCTTACAAGGCAAAATTTAAATAACAAAAATTAATTCAGCTGAGCACGGCTAGGGCCATCCACACACTTCCAAAACGGTTGCGCAAAATCATGTGTATGCCATAGAAGCAATTGAGGGTGTGTGGATTAATTATCCATCGCTACAACAAAAATCTGCTTTGAAAAAAACTGTTTCTAGAATGAAGACAAATGTCGAACTTTGACAAATTTGAATTTAATTCGCATATGCAATTTTCGCATCAGGATGAAATAAATACATGTTATCAATATACGACCTTTGTAAAGCCACATAGCCCAATATGCCTGGTGAGCCGCTTAACCAACGGCGAAACGTGTCGCAGAATGGTGGGTACGTAGTTTCTTCTCCTGGCTTTCCTCTTCATTGCAAAAATTAGATCATTAAGCACGACTCGAAAGAGTATAAATTACTCACTTAAAAATTACTTTCAAATACTTTGTTCAAAGGTGGCTGTTACCGGTCGCAATATTCGACTCATTATATCGATGTCATCAGCGTAGGCGAGTAACATATGTTATTTGGTGTACTGAGTGCCATTTCTGTTCACCTTTGACCTTTCCCAGCAGGATGTTAAACAGGTCACACGACAAACTGTCACCATGTCTGAATCCTCGTTGGTTGTTGAAGGGCTTTCCGACTTTAACTGTTGATTTTGTGCCAGTTAAAGTTATCCTGCATAGCCGTATTAATTTTGTAGGAATACCGAACGCAGACATGGCTTTAAACACCTCTGAACGGATGGGGCTGTCGAATGCGGTTTTATAGTCGACGAATAGGTGGAACGTATTGATGTGTTTTTCATGGGTCTTTTACAGGATTTGCGCAAAGTGAAAATCTGGTCAATGGTGGATTTGTCAGGTCTGAAGCCTCTCCTCGGCGTCATCTAGCATAATGGGCGTCATCAGTGGTAATGGTGATCGATGTCAGGAGGGAGGGGGTACAAAACTTGTATAAGATTCGCTTGTAGAATTTATAACTGAGAGGTTTCAGGGGTACAATAAGTTACTTTGTCTGCTTTGTCTCATTTAAGGGCGCATTACCCTCTTACTTTCTGAGACTGCTAGGTAGTAAAAAAACCTATGTTTGATTATAATCGATACTAAAGTGAACTGTACGTTAAAATTGTCAAAAATGGGAGCTATACGGTACGGTTTTCCCAATTTTCGTTTAAATCGGACAAATCATGAGAGTTTAGAACACCATTTACCAAAAAATCGGACGAAACTATATATGGGAGCTATATCTAAATCTGAACCGATTCCAAAAAAAAAACTTTGCACAGTTCATTCTATACTCAATTCAGAACCTTATGCAAAATTTCGTGTAAATCGAAATAAATATAGGGTCTTAGGTGCACCATTTACTGATAATTGGACGAACATATGGGAGCTACATCTAAATCGGAACCGATTTCAGCGAAAGGTAACACTCAATACGCCATAGAAAATTTCCTGTAAATCGAAAGAAATGTAAGGGATTTTTGGCACCATTTTTATAAAATCTCACGAACATATATATGGGAGCTACATCTTATTCTGAACCAATTTCAATGAAATTTAGCACACATCATTCCAGAGTCTAATAATTACGCTATATAAAATTTGGTATAAATCTAATGAAATAAATATAAATAGGGCTATGTCTTCTGTTGTCAAATTTGCATAAAATCGGACTATATATGGTAGCTATATCTAAATCTGAACTGATTTCAAAAAAACTTGCACATGATATTCTATACTCAATTCAGAACGCTATGCAAAATTTCGTGTTAATAGTAAAATATATATAGAGAATTTGGTGCTACATTTACCAAAAATTATATATGGGAGCTATATCTAAATCTGAAACCATTTCTATGTTCAATTCAATACGCTATGCAAAATTCCGTGTAAATCGAAAGATATATAGGGGCTTTGTATCATTTACATTAAATCTGACACAAACATATATATCTATATATACATATATATGTGCCTGTGCCAAATTTCATTCAATTTGGATCAAAAATGCGACCTGTACTTTGTTAACAATTTAACGTGGACAGTCCGTATGGACATGCATACTTCGACTCAGAAAGTGATTCTATGCATATTCTCAAAAGAATATAGGGCATGCGGCGAAAGATATACAAATCAGAATATTCCCAATTTGTGTTTTTTTTTTTCATATTTTATTGCGATTTCATTATATATTCTTTTTAATTTTTCTGAGGCGGTCGATCTGAATTATTGCGGTTAATTTTTATTTACTACAATTTCAAAAACAAAAAATATTTCATATATAAATAATGAAAATGTAAGAGTTACATATTACATCACAATAACAACAAATATTATCATACATAATAATACATACGCACATACAACACACTCACACATAAGTACATATACATAAATAACCTACCAGATAAATTCTTCCATTCATGACTTTACGAAAAAAAAACAATAATCAGCTTGCTGGACCAACATCTTCGAACATTCAATGGCTAACAACAAAAAAATTGCACCGTTTGGCGTCGACTTTGTATACGTAACCCAGCAAACAAAAAAAAAACATTGTGTCCTGCAGGAAACAGTAACAGATCATGCCATTATTTTCATATTGTGTGTGTTGTACGTAACCCAGCAAACAAAAAAATCATTTGTGTCATCATTTGTCTGTAATTAAATAACAATTTTTTTGTCTGGCAAAAACATTTTTCTAACCCAAATCAACTCTATATTGCTAACTGAAATCATCTAACAACTACCTCCCTTCACCCGAAAAAATGTACTAACTCGTTACAAACACGCAAAAAATATTTTTTTTTTTTGTTTTTGTAAAATATGTCCTTACTTCCCTCTTCTTGTATTTATTGCCACCCGCAACAACAACAACCACATGCAAAAAAAAAATGCTTCTAAATATTTCTTTCATTAAATCAAAAAAAGTTCATAAATAAATGTTTTTGTTTATTTTTTTCGATTACTAACAAATTTCAAAATATGAAAAATTAATTAATTTAATTTTTTTATTGTTTATTTCTTCTTCTTTTTTATATTCTTTTTTTCCTCCCACCACCAAACCAAACCAAAAAATTTGATTGAAACTCTGTTGTGTTTTTCCAACTCCAAAAAAATAATGGCAAAATTGATTATTGCGTCCGTTCGCGTCCCTCCAACAAACCAACCAACCACATCCAACTGAACAACAAAAACTACGACAACAACAAACCACACTATATTATAACTCCTTTACTTTTTTTATTATGGAAACTCTTACATTTTCATTGATTTGTTTGTATGCGAAAGGTGGACCAAATTTACAAATGTCAGATAATGTTGGTATACCCGCCTTAGCACCTGGTTCGGCTGGATCCGGAACTGGTCCCTTAATACATTTACCTCCCGAAAATTCGTCAACATTTTATTTATCCAATAGGCTACCTTATAATCCCAGTAAATATCAACACAATTTTAATTTTCAAAAAACAAAAAAAAAAAAAAAAGAAAACCAAAATGGTTTTGTAGATTTCTGTATTTTTTAATTTTTCTACATGTGATGGAGATCAATACGATTTAAAAAAATATCTATATAAATTTTTAAGATCGCTATAAAGTAAAATTTATGCCAAATTTTAAATTTTCTTCGATATCATAAAGGAAAATTCGTTATCGTAGTAAAAAGTAGTAGTAGTAGTAGTACCGGAAACGACCAATAATTTTTTAAAATTGCTACAAAGTAAATTCTATGCAAAATTTGGTGTTAATCGAGTGAAATATAAGGGCTCTGGTGCAACATTTACATAAAATTGGGCGAACATATATATGAGAGCTATATCGAAATTTGAACCGATTTCAATGAAACCTATCACTTATAACTGTAGAGTCAATTAAATTCGCTATGCAACATTTCGTGTTAATCGAGTGAAATATAGGGTCTCCAATACACCATTTACATAAAATCGGACGTAGATATATATATAGAGCTATATCGAAATCTGAATCGATTTTAATAAAACTTAGTACTCATCATTCTAGAGTCAATTAAATTTGCTGTGCAAAATGTCTTGTAAATCGTAAGAAATTTAGGGACTTTGGTACAACATTTACATAAAATCGGACGATCATATATATATTATATATATGATCATATCGAATTCTGAACCGATTTCAATGAAATGTAGCACACATCATTCCAGAGCCAATTAAATACGCTTTGCAAAATTTGGTGTACATTGAATGAAATATAGGGGCTTTGGTGCACCATTTACATAAAATCGGTCGAAAATATATGAGTGAGTTACATCTAAATCTGAACCGATTTCAATGAAGTTTAGCTCACATCATTTCAGAGTCAAATAAGTACGCTATGCAAAATTTCTTGTAAATCGGAAAAAAATTAGGGGCTTTGGTACACCATTTACATAAAATCGGACGAAAATATATAGGGGAGCTATATCTAATTCTGAACCGATTGCATGAAATTTAGCACACATCATTACAGAGTCAATTTAGTATGCTATGCAAAATTTGGTATACATCGATTGAAATATAGGGGCTCTAGTGCACGATTTACATAAAATCGGACGAAATCATATGATAGAGCTATATCTAAATCTGAATCGATTTCAATGAAATTTAGCACGCATCATTTCAGAGTGAAATAATTACGCTATGCAAAATTTTGTGTAAATCGAGTGAAATATAGGGGCTTTGGGCACTATTTACATAAAATCGGACGAACATATATATGGGAGCTATATCTAAATCTAAAGCGATTTCAATGAAACTTACCCCACGTGATTGCAGACTCAATTCAGTACTCTATGCAAAATTTGGTGTAAATTGAGTGAAATATACGGTCTGTGTTGCACCATTTACATAAAATCGAACGAACATATATATGGGAGCTATGTCCAATTCTGAATCGCTTTCAATGAAATTTGGCACAAATCATTCCAGAGTTAAATATGTACACTATGCAAAATTTGGTGTAAATCGGAAGAAATTTATGGGCTTTGGTGCACCATTTACATAAAATCGGTCGAAAATATATGAGGGAGTTACATCTAAATCTGAACCGATCTCAATGAAATTTAGCACACATCATTCTAGAGTCAAATAAGTACGTTATGTCAAATTTAGTGGAAATCGAATGAAATATGGCGGCTTTTTTGCGCCATTTACATAAAATCGGACGAAAATATATGGGGGAGCTACATCAAAATCTGAATCGAACATCGCTTGCACATACACAAAGTGGTCCCGTCTGAATTTTGAACTTTGAACCTTACTGGTTAAAATTGAGATATTATAGTCTTCGAACAACTATCGAAATCGAAACCGTAACCTAAATGACCAATCAAATCGTTACGATTTCCATCACAAACATTTTTCAATCTTCCCTTTTTTTGTTATCCCGAATTCTACAAAACCATTGAGGCTAATTGCGATTGATATATAATTTTTTTTTCTAATTAATTTCTATTTTTTCCTTCCTTCCTCCTAGATAACAATGTCATTGCCGAAGATCAAACGCGAAAGCGTGAAATTCGCCTACAAAAGAACCGAGAAGCCGCGCGTGAATGTCGTCGGAAAAAGAAGGAGTATATCAAGTGCCTGGAAAATCGTGTGGCGGTGCTGGAAAACCAAAACAAGGCTCTAATCGAAGAGCTGAAATCGCTCAAGGAGCTATATTGTCAGACCAAAACAGATTGAGACAGACCCCCCAGTCATCTAGATGATAATCGGGCGCAGCAGCAGCAAATTGTTGTAACAGCGGAGCAGGAGCAGGAAGAACACCAGCAAGAAGTATCAAGAACTGGAGATGATGTGGAAATAATTGAAGAGGAAGTTGAAATAGTGGGGGAGGCAGAGCCAAATGATGTCAACGATGTGGAGGAGGAGGGTGAGGAACAGGAATTTAGTGAATCGCAAGAATTTGAATTGATAATTCCAGCAGCACCACCACAACAAAAATCGCCAAGTAGCAGTAGTAGCAGCAACATTTCGGTTCTAAACAAGTCTGCAGGCTCAGCACTTATGTCGAACACCACAACATCACCAGTCTCCCCACGGCTAACATCTTCAGCAGCTCCTCCTCCATCCTCGGTTATAACTATACACAATGCCCATTATCTAGATGTACGCAAATCGTTGCTTCTACACAAAGCTTTGGTGGAGGATCCCAAAAAACAACAACAACAAGGTCGAGTGGTTGTGGTGTGTACCACCACTCCAAAGGCAACATCAACGGCGGTGGCAGCGGTTGCAGTTTCTCCTCCTCATCCTTCAACTGCTGCAGCTGCCATTTCTTGCATAAGGCCCACTACCTCGGCTGTAAATGATTGTGAACCTGATTAGAAATTTAATTCATCTTCTTCGTTATCTTCAAAAACACTTAAATTTATATTTTGAAAAATACAACAACAACAACAAAACTCATGGCGCCTAAAAACAAACACAAAAGTCAACACAAATTTAAGTCCGCTTAAAAAAAAATAATTTATTTAAAAAAAACTTGTCTTTTTTGTAAATATATAGCCCCCTGCAAATTTTTGTATTTAAGCCAAACTGGTTTTGAAAAAATATCAAAACAAAACTAATTTTGCTTTATAACTTTAAGCTAAGTTTATAAATGAAATGTAATATATTTTTTTTTAAATTGTTAAAAAAAACGAAAGCCAATCTCTTGGGGTTTTTTAAAAAAAGGAATTCACATTTTAAAACATTTTTTTTAAATAATGTTGTTATTTTTTAGGCTCAAATCCACAAAATAATTTGTTTTTAAATTTTCATTTTAAAAAATGGGAAGTAAGTTTTTTGGCGACAAAAACCAACTTTTCAACAATGATTTCTACATTAAAAAATAATGTAAACCTAAAAAATGTTATAGAAAAATTATTTTTTTCTTTTTTTATAATTATTAAATATTTATTAAGTCGTATAATTATTAATTATAATAATTATTATTATGTTTTTACACAAACAAAACGAAAATGATGAAAGAAAACCATGTACTGTAATTAACTTTTAAAGAAAATCACAACAACAAAGGAAAACTATTTTGTAAATTTTTCTAAAAAACAAACAAAACATTAGAAATTCTATTGTTTTTTTTATTTTTTACACACACCATTTATATACATATATAAATATGATAATGATGAAAAGAAAACTCTATCTAGTTGTTTATATATATTTAAATCTATATCTAAATCTAGGAAATCTTTAAGGCAATTTTTAAAAAATCGTCAACATTGTTTTTCCCCTCTACAACATATATATTTTGTTTTCTTTCTTGACCTTCACACCCACCCTCGTCTCGTCGTTGTCGTGTTGTCCTGTCCTGTCTTCATCGTTTTATTCTCTTCTGTATATCCTTTTCCAAAGAAGGCCAACGAAAGATGAATAAAAGCGAAATTCTCCATTTCGTAATTGAAATGGAAATGTCTTCTTTTTTTGATAATATCATAGTTTAGCATTATGTAACATAAACAAAAACAACAACAAAATTTTTTTGCTGTAAAAATAAAACAATGAATATTAAATGAAATAAAAAACAAATTGTACCAAAATTGAAATTTGGTAAAAAATAATTAAAGAACTTTATTTTTATTTTTTTGTATATTCTATATCATAATTAAAAGAAATTCTCGGTGTCAAAAAAAAATATATCAAATTTTTTAAATAAAACAAACCTATATAAGAATTTCACTTTAAAATTTTCAAGTGAACAGTCATCTACCCTTGAAGATGTAGTCGAATTTACTGTGTAAGCCTTTCTCAAAGTATAAACCTTTTTTTTTTCTTTTTTCCATTTAAGGCTAGAGAATGCGACACCGATTTTTCCACACGGTATTAAATTATAAACCGTTATTATTCCATGCATGGATGAAGACCTTCCTCCTTTATACATTCTTGTCGAAAATCAAATGTGAAATTCGTCTACAAATGAACCGGCCCGTGAATGTCGTTTTCGAAAATGGTGGTTGCAAAAAAAAAAAAGGTTCATGTTGCCGTATTGTAATTTAAGTTTGTAATATTTCTCAATATTTATACTCTTTACCACACTGTGGTACACCATGGTGGTATTATGCCTTTGTGCATATCTTTATAACAGGCAAAAGGAATCGATATAAGACCCATGGTTCCTTTTGAGAAATTCATAGAATCACTTTCTAAGTCGATTTATGCATGTCCGTCCGCCCATGTATTTTGTGTGAGCAAAGTACAGGTAGCATTTATGATCCGATCCGGTTCAGATTTAGATATAGCTCCCATATATAATTTCGTTCGATTTAAGGTAAATGGTGCATCAACGTCCCTATATATCTTTCGATTTGCACAAAATTTTGCATAGCGTACTGAATTAGGCATAGAATGACGTACGTGAAGTTTCGTGAAAGTCGGTTCAGATTTGGATATAGCTACCAAATATATTTTCGTCCGATTTAATGTTAATGGTGCACCAAATGCCCTATTTCTCTTTCGATTTGCACGAAATTTGGCATATCGTACTAAATAAAGTCTAGAATGATGTATGTTAAGTTTCGTGAAAATCGGCTCCGATTTAGATATAGCTGCCATATATAACTTCGTCCGATTAAAGGTAAATGGTGCACAAAAGTCTATATATTTCGATTTGCACGAAATTTGGCGTAGCGCCTAAATTAATTATAATTTCGTATAAGTATAATTTCGTCCGATTTAATAGAAATGGTGCATCATGGTGCATATATCTCCCGTTCAATTTCATGTCAATGTTATTTGGAAAAGGCGACGTCTGTTAGGAGCGTATGAAGAATATATCCATAGTGGTGAAGGGTATCATGTAGTCGGCCCAGTCCGACTTTCCTTATCTCGCTTGTGAAAATTGTTTCACTTTCACAATCTCGCGTTATTCTAAATGAATAGAGAAAAGCAAAAAATGCGAGATGCGGATTCAAATTTTCGAAAATGGTGGTGTCGTCCGATTTTATTTAAATTGTATATTAAACTCCCAATATTGGTCCGGGATTGGCACAGCGTACTGAATTAAGTCCAGTTTGATGTCTGTGGAGTTTTATTGAAATCGGTTCAGATTTAGATATAGCGTCCATATATATATTTCCATTCAATTTTATTTAAATGGTTTACCAAATAACTCAAGATTTAACAAAAGTGTACAACGTACCAAATTGGAATTTAAATAACGTGGATTGGATTTTTATAAAATATATATTCAGATGTAACCCCTATATATTTTCGTCTGAAAGTTTCTCCTAGCGAGATAAAATCTCAGTCAGCGCACTGTGCTGCAGCGTAGCAAATGTTGTATGACACGGTTGCTCAGTTAGGTCCAGATTCACATATAGCTCCCATATGGTATATGTATGGTTTTTATTGGTTCAGATATGTGTATAGGTTAGGTTTGGGGATGTGCAGTCACATGTGTGACTGCAACACTCTGAGACCGGTTAGGTCCGTTGTGATCATCCACAAGAAGAGATACAGCGAAGTGAAGAGACAAGAGATAGATCTGTAGGGGAGAGAAGATTAGTGAATTAAAGGAGTGAAGAGTGAAGGTCGATGGTCCTATGAGTCAGACAGAAAAAAGTGTTACGTGCCAAGGTTGTATGCTCCTAACCACTTTATGTGTCTAATTATGCTGTAGATTAAAGCAGGTTCGGTTGTTGAGAAGAGGCTGAGACTAGGTAGAAAATAAGCACCCATTAGTCTGTGTCGCCTGTAAGCCAGGGCTGGGCACTGGCACAGGAGATGCTCAATTGTCTCCGTCTCCTCCTCGTCAACACAGAGTCTACAGTAATCAATTGCATCGAGATCCCATTTACTAGTAAAGGCCCTGATGTTGCAGTGATCAGTGATGATTCCTGTCACCACTCTAATTTCGGCTTTACTCAGGTTCAATAGTGAGCGCGTTCTTTGGTAGACAGAGTCGGCCAAATGAATCTTGACATGTTGCACCTAGGTTCGTTGTGCCAAAGTTCACAGGCAAATTCAATTTCGCTCGATTCTATTTACAGGATATTGTACATATGAGCATCTATTGTATGTACCCAAAGTGGTGAAGCCCCGTCCGACTTTTGAACTTTCTTTACTGTCCTGTTTTTTTTTTAATTGTTTCTTTTTTATTGTTATATAAGGGGACCCACCCACACTCAGTGTTTTTACGAATGACGATAACTCAAAAACTCTTTAAAGGGTAGAACGAACAAATTCACGGTAAATTGATGTCCAGAAAAAGGCTGAATATGTTTGTTTCTAATTTTCACTCAAAACGACGCAAATCGAATCACCTTTTTCTATACATACACAAAATGCACTGAAATTTAATTTACTGGGGAAATGGATATTCAAAACAAGGAGGGTATACTGCTTAGCAGTATACCCTCCATTTTCAATAATGGCTTTCAGCTCAAGCTTACAATTTTCTCAAGCAGCTGAATCTGCACTGGCTGACTCTCGTTTTAATGCCACATTATTTTTTGAAGGTCGGAGTAAATAGAAAGAGCTTTATTTTTATTACGTCATTGCTCAGTGGCATTCTTCGCTTATTTTGATCATGTCTCCTAATTGAAAGAAGGGACTCCATCTTAACCAATAAAGGATTTCTTGCTATAGTATCTTCTTTAGATTGGAGTGGTGTGACAATTTCAGCTAATTGATTCATTTTATCACTGTCTCTGTTGAAAATTGTTCTTACTGTTGTAGGGGCTAGTCCAAGAGC